CCGCCAGCACAGGAGAGCAAGGGCTTCCTAAGGGCAGTGGGGGCAGCAAGGACTAAAACCACAGAAAAGTGGGAGCAGACTCCTACTTGCACTATAAACTTTCTGGGCCTGAGCCCTCTCCTTGCTTTGCCCCAACCCACCTCCTTGCTCAGTAGTGTTGAGAGATCAGTAGTGTTTTGTTGGTGCCACAGGGAGGGAAGTCGAGCAAAGCGGAGGGGAGGCCTGGGGGGGTGGGGGCGGAAGCCTGGAGACTGTGCACCCATCCCCACCTGTGCTGTTGTGCTTTCTGAAGCTTGGAGAGAGAGGTCTTGCCTTTCTTGCCCTCTCCTGTATCCTGGGAACTGCTGGTCATTTGCTACTGCCATCCCTCCTCCCCCTGAGCTCGAAGTCATCCTGGAGGCCTGAGGGCAGAGAGTAGGTTAGAGCCTGGAGTCCTGGCCAGTGCTCAGCTCCAGTGTGGGGCAGGGAGCAAGCAGAGGCTGGAATCTCTGTTGTTTGGGATGGTCTCTGTCCACTTGTCTCTTGTTCTGTTTGGGACCCCAAGCAAGCGGGCATGAAGGGCAACAGAAAGGATTCGTTTGAGAGGAGCTGGGGGATCCCCTTCCCCATATTCTTCTGATTTCCTGCCCCAAGCTGGAGGGTGTCTTATCTTCAAGTTCAGAGAGAGGAAGGAGTGAGAACCATGCCCAGGGTACTCCAGGTAGATCCAGCCTGTAAGGGAACCAGTGAGTCCTCCAGCTGGGCTTCCCTGTCTTCCACCACCGGAGTGTAGTCCACTCTCCCTTGGAAGGAGACCCTAGCAACAGACTGTCCCACTGCTCCCTGCCTTGAACAAGCCTGATTCTGACAGAAGCTGGTGTTTGCTTGGAGCAGGCAGGCAGCTCCAGAACACAAGGCAGCCTCAGCCTTGTATAGGAGAAAGGGTGGCAGCCTTACTCTGGGATATGTTCCTGTGGTCCTGCAGAGGGCAGACGCTCATTCTGTCCAAGACACCCAGCAGCAGGGTCAGTCTACAGATGCAGAGCGAAGAATAATGGGATTCAGGAGGCATTTTTGAGTCTGTGTTAAGACCCAGCCTTCTCTGAAAACTGATTAGCCTTGATATCAGCAAGTCCTCTCCCTGCACCCTTCCCCAATCTGGAGCTGGGTATAGGCATGTGGGGACAGAGCTCACCGCTGGCCTTCCCTCTCATGCTCTGGGTTCTACTGGCCCTCTCTGGGCTTCCCAGGCTCTGGGTGAGGGTCCAGCCTTGGAGCTGCCACACGCCAACTCCTCCTCAGTCACTTCCCAAAGGAGGCCTCTTGACTGGTGGTGGTAGAAAACAGACAAGATTTTGTGTGTGTGCCAGCCCAGCTCCCAGAACCTGCCTGTGAACCCCACTAAGTTGCTGTCAATGAGAAGGTGGCCATGGCCACTGCGAGGCTATCTTGGTGGGAGGCAGGCCAGCCATTCTGGGATAAGGAGGGCTCTAGAGTGTCCTCTCCATGCCCCTGCGTGGCTCTGGCTTCCTTCTGGCACCTTCCCAGGGGCTAGGGCAGCCCCCCACCCACCCCACAGGCCTCTTCTCGTTCTGCTTTGATCGCAGACCTCACAATTGCGTTTCAAAGCCTTCACCGCCCTTGTTTGTCCCTCTGCTGCCGGCTGGAGCTGAGGTTCAGCGTTCCTAGGCCCGGCCTTTGAAGCTTGCTCTTATTAATCTTTTAACATCCCCCCAGCCCCACCCACCCCGCCCACCCCTCCAGCCTGTGGCACTCACAGGAGCCTGGAGCTGAGCGGAAAGAATGCCCTCAGCCTGCAGCTGCAGCCCCTTCCCAGTCCTGCCAGACTCAGGGCTGCCCTAAGCCTTTGGCCACGTCAGCCAGCCCCAGCCCCCACCTCCCTTGGGCACAGAGGCTGGAAAACAAAACAAAACAAAACAACAACAACAAAAAAAAAAACATTCTAATGTGTGATACTAGAGCCTCTCAGACCTCTCTGGCCCGGGCTGCACAATCACCCTTTTGAGGAGGCCTCAGTGCCTGTGTCCAATGGTGTCAGAGAGCTCTCACTCCATACCTGTGCCCAAGAAAGTAGGGCCAGTTGCTGCACAAACGAAAACAAACAAACAAAACAAACCATCCCCTCTGCCCACTCTGATAGTATCAGTCAGGACCCCCGCTTCTCATTTGTGTGGATGGTGTCGCCCTCAGGTCCCTCTGCCCAGCTGTAGCACCAGTGAATTTGGTACTGGTGTGCTTTTGGATAGGTGTGGTTTAGGAGCCTTTGATCCCGGCATTCCTTTGGGTTTTCAGAACACTACCTTTGTTTGGGTGGGACAGGAGGAGCTTGGGCTGGTCCTGGCTCTAGCTTCCTTCTTAGTCCAGAGGTGACAGCCTGCCTGGGCTGGTGTGTCTCAGAAGCCTCTCAGCACAGGGCTTCTCTCACACAGCTTGATTCTGGGAGCTAGCCTGCTGCCTCTTGCCTGGGCCTGTTCTAGGGCACTCCTGTCTCCCAGTGGCTCTGGGTAAATTCCTTACCGCAGAGACACACCTACCCGCAGCAGCCCCTCACTCTTTTTTTTTTTTTTTTTTTTTTAACATAAACAGGGGGAAGGACGGTATGACAATGGGGCAGCCACACAGATCTCTTTCTCCCACTTATGTTCCTAGACAGTGTCAGGCTGGGAAACCCAGACCACCCTGTCCCCCACCCCAACTCAACCCTGTGTCTCCTCTGATCCCCTGGGCAAGATGTCCCCAAGTCATAAACTCAGGTGACATCAAAAATTTCCTGGTGCTGCAGCTGGGCAGTGGGATGTGAGGAACAACATAATTCTCACCAGTGAGAAGTGGGGCTCCTAACTAGTGCTTTGCCACCTGTGGTCTGCGATGGGTAGAGGGCCACAGGAAGGGGTGGAGTCTTCTTTGGGATACCTGAACCTGATAAGCACTGCCTGCCTGGCTGCCTGAGCCCTCCCTGCTCCCTGCTTTTCCTGTAGGCAAACCTCTTCCCTGCTGCCCTTGTGCACTTTGGAGCTGAAGAACCCACGGGTGAGTGAGGCCTCATTTCTGACCCCTGCCAACAGGGCCCACCCTGAATCCCAGTTTACCTGATGCCCAAAGCAAGATGCCTTAGAAGGCATTCACTCTGTGATGGTCCTCATGTGGGCCTGGGGGGTGCAGCCCAGTACCCACCTCCCTGGGTGCCCCACTGGCAGTGTGTGGGTGGAAGGGCGGGTTTCACCCGTGGCTGAGGGCAGGCTCTGGCCTCTGAAGGTCTCTACCTGGAGCCTGCACTGCTAGAACACACCGTCTCCCCATCTGTGGCTGATGTGCTGGTGGCCAGGTAAGTTCCTGAGGGGTTGGAAGCCCTCCAAGGCTGTGCCCACCACCTAACCTTGGCTCCTCACCCCTAGGTGTATGTCCCGGGCTGCCAGGTCCCCACCCCCGCTGCCAGCCCCTGACCCTGAGTCCCTGGAGTCTGAGCCAGTCACTGACGAGGAGGCACCGAGGCCCCCAGAGCCCATCCAAGGGACAGCCCAGCCTGTCAGGAGAAGCCTGGGCAAGGTGCCCAAGTGGCTGAAGCTGCCAGGTGCTGCTGCCGTGGACTAGCCGGGGTGGGGCAGGGTGGCTGCCAGGTGCCTGCTGCCGTGGACTAGCTGGGGTGGGGCAGGGTGGCTGGGCAGGAACCCAGGGGCGCGTGGTCATCCTGGTGTTTGCATCATAGCTGGCAAGAGGTGAGAGCTACCAGGCTGGAGTTGCCCACCGCAGCCACCGGACCCCACCCACCCCGAGCAGGAATAAAGACTCGCGCTTCTCTCAAGGCCCCGGTTCTCTTCTCTGCACAAAAGGCCCTAGGCTTCCCTCTAGCTCTCAGCCACTGCCACCCAAAGGGAGTTTGGCTGGACCACAGGGTGTTCCTGAAGGACCTGGAAGGGCCAGGAGCCTGGGCAGCCAGCTTCCTCTTCATTTCTAGCTGACCTGTTGAGCCCCTTTACAGATTGGACAGAAATGAAGGAGGAAGCCTCCTTGGCAAATTACCTACAACCTGGGGCCACAGCAAGCTTCTAGCATACAGCCAGAGAGGAGGAACCAGGCACCTAACCACAAAGCTACCTTTGGCTGTGCGTGGCCTGGGGTGTTCTGCTAGCCCTCTTAGCATGCCTTCATGGGACTGCACAGCCAGTTCTGCCACGTTAGCTGCTTGAAGCCCTGTGTCCCACCAGCCAGCACTTCCTGAAGCTCTCCCACCTCCCACTCATTCTCCAGTGCTTGGGAGCCACAGATCCACAGCATTTGGGGGGTAGGACTTCTAGCCCCTCGGGGCAGCTCAGTCCAGCCTGGCCTTTGCAGCCAGAGCTTGCCCTCAAAGTCTGTTCTAGGCTGTGAGAGTAGCAGCTGTCCCTTCACATTATCTATGCCTTCCCCACCTGACCTCCCACCCTACCTCTACCACTGTGCTGACACTCACGATCCTTGCCTCTGGGCCTTGACGTGGGGTAACTGCATCTCCTGACTCCTGCATGTTCCACGCTGTTTGCACACTGCACTCTGTCAGAGAGGAACTTCTCAAGCTCCAGTAAGGGCCCTGAGACCTACAGGGGTACCCCATGTGTTTCTGGAGAATTGTCCTGCTCATCAGAGGGCTCCAGCCTGGACTGGGCTTCCAGGAAGGCCTCACAATTCCCTGTCTGAGGGCGCAGCCTGCAGCTGGGCAGGGCAGGGTTACAGGAGCGCCTTTCTCCAGGCCTTTTCCCCGTGTGCCCTGGCTCTGCCTCCGCCGGTGGTCGCCACCATGCAGACATTCTTGCGCCCACTGCCTACTCGTGGCAGGAGGAACATTTCCCAAGTGAACCAGCCACACGTGTGAGGGCTCCAGCTCTGCCGCAGCATGCGCACACATGCTGTTTGTTATCCTGTCCCCCCTGAGCTGTGCACTCGCCCCACTGAGATGGATGCAAGGGAGCAGGGTGCTTTGAAGCAACTAGACTTGGGGTGATTAATGGCAGCAAGGCCAAGCCTCAGAGAGATGGTGTTGATTTATTGATGTTGCTTTGTAAGAACAAATTTACAGCTCAGGGAGGCACCCTGGGGGTGGGGGTCAGCAGCTTTGATGCAGGGTGGCAAAAAGCAGCACTGCCAGCAGCTGCTTTTTCTCCGGTGCAAGGCTGGAGGCGGGCGGCCTTGGCTGGAGGCAGGCTGGTTCACCTTTCCGGCACCTGTCTCACAAGGACCCCCAGAGGCAAGGGCTAGCAAGGGTGCTGCTGCTGGGATCTTCCCAGCCTCTGGAAGCTGGAGAGCTGAGGAACTGGGTGTTGATGCCGGTGCGCATTCACTGTAGACTTTGCAGGCCACAGGAGGGGAGCTCTAAAAGTCCAGGAGCTGTGGAGGAGAAATGTGCTCTGAGTGACGACACCAGCGCCATTAGGGAGAGCTGCAGGCTGCCCACCTGCACCCCACATACCAGCTGAGGAAGCACCTTCTCCAGCTGGTCCACATCCACAACACCAAGGCCCTCTGCCTGGGCCTGCGAGACCCCACGAGCAGCAGCTTCTGTGAAACACTGTGACGTGAGCTGGGGGAAGCGGGGCTCTCCCACACCTACTATCAGCCCTCGGAGGGGGCCTGGACGGCTCATACTAAGTTTTTCAGACCAGGACTTAGGGTTGGCGGTAGCTGAGGAAAACCTCTTAGTTTATCTACTGAAAAAAGAAAAGGAATGCTTCTGGTGATGTGGGGCCTTCAGCTCACCTACTACAAAGATCCTCAGGAACTCCGCCATGAGCTGCAGTGCGTCCCCACTGACTGGAGGGAAAGGGTGGGTTACAGGACGGCCTCCCTTCCCTTCCCTTCCCATGCCATGCCCCACTCTTTCCTACCCCACTGGTGGCCCAAAACCTTTTGTCTTGCAATCCCTGAAGTGCAGATGGAGTAGTCTGCTCACCAGCTCCTGGAGGGAGAAGGAGTCAGTGCCGTTCCCCACAAGCCGGCCCCCCGAAACCCCCGTACCAGTTTTGTACGGAGAACGACTGAGCCGTCCAGCCTCAAACAGTGCCATCCTGGGACCTCTTCCCCTGTTGAGGGGATGTAGCCAGCTGTGCTTTGAGGGGAGAGGTAATAGGGGTTCTCAAGGCAGGCTTGAGGCTGGGTGTGGTGGCACCTTTAATCCCAGCACTCAAGAGGCAGAGGCAGGAGGATCTCCATGGACTGGAGGCAAACCTAGTCTAAAAGCCAGTCCTGGACAGCCAGGGCCCTATTAAACATAAACCCAGTCTCAAAGAACCAAAAGAGGAGGAGGAGGAGGAGGAGAAAAGGCTTGAGATACTTTCCTGTAAGAACAAAGGAACACAGAGAGATAGGAGAAGGTCCGGGAATATCCTGAGCTGAGGGGCAGTGCTGCGCCTTGACTGCCAGGAGAGACTACTCTGTCAGGTCCAGGGGGTGGACGCACATGCTCATAAAGTGGGCGGAGGCAGCCTTGAGGAATGCTGACCCTGTTGGCAGTCTTTGCTTGTATCTACCGCCCCGTCCTCAGTCAGCATGGTGAAGCTGGGCTGTGGCTGGGTGGGTGGACATACACCCAAGAACCCTTGAGCTTTCTTTGGCAAGAAGCTGGAAGCCATTTCTAGTTGTGAATGGAGACAGCACTAATTTTGGGAAGATACTTGCAGACTAGGTCTGGAGAGGCCTAGCTTTAATGATGGGTTGTGGTGTCATCGGACTGGCCAGGCTTCAGGAATGGCTTGAGACCCTGAAAGGTTGGTGGTGGTGTGGGAGATGGGGCTGGGAGTGAGAATCCAGAGGCCTAGGAATTCGGTGAGGACACGAGGAGCCCCGAGTATCTGTGCGGTTTGTGAAGCCGTGAGACCACTCAAGTTTGCCAGAGCAGAACAGAAAATGGCTGGGAAAAGGCAAAAGGTCGGCAGCAGCAGGCACCCGCGACCCTAGAAGTGACGCGGGTGGAAGTGGACGCTGTGAGTTTGAGGCACAGGTGAACTTGTCAGTTGGGCCAGGAGGGTCCATGAAAAAGTACGAGAGCAGCGCCACCTGCTGGTCTCTTGCTCTGCACGCTACCACAGAGGTACCGCAAAGACTCGGTCGGTTCCAGCTGCCCCAGCACCCGCAGCCGACCCGACCGCTGGCCTTCGCGAAGGACGTGTCGGGAGAGTCCGCTAAAGCACAGGACTGCGCTTCGGCCGCGCGGGCCGCCTCATGAGTGGGCGGATGTGACTGGAGGGCAGGAGAGAAAACCCGCGGCACGCAAGCCGTTCCACGTCCAGAAAGGCCAAGCCAGGGATACAGGTCCCTCTCTCCGGGGACAGCCCGCTCACCACCGTCCAATGAGCGCCCACACCTCGATTCTGGCAAAGCCCCCCAGACTCTATCCAAGTGCTGGGCGGAGGGTGGGGCCCGAACTCCGCACTGGGCGAGCACTGGCCTGAGAAGAGCGAACCTCAGCCGCAGCACACCACGGAACGGAACGCCTCGGCTTCGGTTTCCCCCTCCTCGCACACCTGCCTGTCACTGAGAAATGACCCTGGCCCACACGGGAGGGGCTCGCGTCAGGGCGCCTCCTGGGAAGACCCCTCGTGTCCGCGCTGGCTCTGCCGGCCGCACCGTCCACCGGCGGGCTGCAGAGCGGCTCGATCCCGCCGCAGAGCGCGCGGGTCGCTCTGCCCGCGCCCGCCCCGGACCCTCAGCAAAGACACAGCAGCACAACGATGGGGCTGATTTCGAGCACTCACAAGCGTCACGCGGGGGAACCGCAACGCCAGAGCGAGCCCGCCAAAACTCTGGAGGAGCTCACCTTCCGGAAGCCGCTGGTTTCCTCCATGGCCACAGTCTCTGCGCGCGCTCTCCGGAACCCTCCCACATCCCAACCAATGAGCGAGAAGCGCGTCCCTGAAGTCCCGCCTCCAGCCCCAGCAGCCAATTATCCAAGCATACCCCGGCTTCCCTGCGTTCTTAACCAATAAATCGGAGGGCGCTGCTCTGGTTCCCGGGGCTTGAGTCCCAGAGCAAGCCCGCCTTTCGCTTTCATTGGTTTACAGATAGCGCCTCTTCCGCAATGCCTCTTGGGAGTTGTAGTTTCTATCCTTCCCGGAGCGCCACATTCTTCCTGGATACTGAGGCGCGCGGGACCGCGTACTGAACACAGCACCAGAGACCCGAAGCCACGTCGCGAGGGCGGGCTGGGGGCCGCAGGGCCGGACCAGGGTACGTGCAACGCTCCCATCTGCTCTCCTTGGCCAGTGCTCTGCGCTCCATCTCTCCCTATGACCGAACCCCTTCCTCAAGCGGTTCCGACCTCCTTTCTATTCCACATTTCTAGGCCCTGCCTTATAGGGCCAGCTCAACTCACCCTGGTGGACAGCCCTTATGGAAGAGGGCGCCCAGCCATCGGCCTAGCAAGCTTATGTGCAGCCTGTCTCTAGGGGGATGCCTGCGAGACCCTGTCAGCATTCGGGGACATGGAGGAGTTCCGGCGTTCTTACAGCCGCCTGTGCAAGGAGAGTGGGGCGGAGCCCCAGGAGGCTGTTCTGCAACTGCTGCACCAGCTTCCGCGGGGCCAGCTGGACCTGGCTACCCAGAGCCTGACGGTGGATACCTGCAGGGCCCTTGGGAAGCTGCTGCTTAACGAGACGCTGTTGAAGGAGCTTGTCCTCAGCGACTGCATGCTGAGTGAGGAAGGTGAGGCCCATGGTCTCGCAACAGCACTTGAAACTTCGGGGGGGGGGGTGCGGGGGGGCGAGCCCTTTGCCTCCGGGCTGGCCTCCGGGCTGGTGCTCTGGTTTGGTTTGGCCTGGGCAACTGTAATGTAAGCAGGAAAGTCTTTGTGTGGTCCCCCTTTTCCGTCCTCTCTTTCTGCACCTTAGCATTCTTTCCCAAAGCCTGGCAGTACAGGTCAATGTCACTGTAATAGAAAAGCCTTAATGTTCCCCATGCTGGCTTGAGAGAGGTCAGGCCTGGCAAGCTCGGGTCTTTATAACATGACCTTACAACAACTCAAAGCAATGGTACTCCTAGAACAGATAACCCCACGACAGCCTTCCAACCACCTTCCCGCAGGGTCCACACTGCTGCTTCAAGGGCTGGGTGCCAACACCACTGTACAGCGCCTGGATCTAAAGGTGAGCACAGGCTTGTGCCCTGGGCAACGGCGAGCGAGAGAGATCCAGGAAGCCGGGGTCCTGACAGTTGCCAGTTCCCAAGAGTGTCTAAGAGTACCGAGTGCCCAAGCTCTTAGAGCTGCTCTCTGTGGTCCCATGGGTTTGGGGAGTGTTTAAAAGGCAGAGTGTCGGTTCAGGCGTGTGCCACATACCCTTATCTCAACAGCATTCACAAAAACTCCAAGGGACTGAGCATTAGGATACTGCTAAGGTCAGGAAAATTAGGATCTGGCAGCCACGAGCTGCCCAGAGCTACCTCCTAGCCTTTCCCACTGCCTGAGACTGCGGGCCACAGATGTGGTATTTGGAGCCAGGGTAACAAGAATGACTGGCCAGGATGTCCCTTTTCTAGGGCAACAACCTTCGAGCCACAGGAGCCGAGGCTCTGGGAAAGCTCCTGCGACAGAACAAGTGCATTCAGAGGTAGGCTGCGCCCAGGCCTCCCGCCCCTCACAGCTTCCTGTCTGCGTGGCCTGGGCCTGTAGCCAGCTCACTTCCTACCACGCATATGTCCTGCACCTACCCATGGGGAATAGGCTGTTAACCCTTGCCTTCCACATGCCCGGGACTCCACGGAGAAGCGTTGTGCTGAGCCGAGGCCCTGTGTCCGCCCTCCCCGCAGCCTCACCCTCGAGTGGAACAGCCTCGGTGTGTGGGAGGAGGCCTTTGCCTCCTTCTGTGGGGGGCTGGCAGCCAACGCCAGCCTGCGGCAACTGGACCTCCGAAACAACCAGATCAGTCACAAGGGAGCAGAGGAGCTGGCCCTGGCCCTGAAGGGCAACAGTGCCCTCCAGCATCTGGGTAAGATCCCCTGAACCCTGCTGTACCCTGTGAGACCTGGGTACACCATGCTGTATTGAGTGTACCTTGGTCCGCTCCTGAGCATATTAGCCCGTCAAAGGCAGTAAAGCACCAAAGAAAGTGTCCTAGGCTGAGCCAGCATTTCACACCCAACTGAGTGACAACGTGCTTCTTTCCAGACCTGCGCTGGAATAACATTGGCCTCCTGGGAGGTCGAGCCCTGGTGAACTGTCTCCCCAGCAACAGAACCCTGTGGAGGCTGGACCTGGCTGGGAACAACATCCCAGGCGACATCCTGAGAGCTGTGGGTATGGGCGCTCAGGGCTGCTAGCTTCTTACAGGTTAGAGCAAAGCATGAAGACCTTTAACAGAAGCCCGTCCTCCACAGAAGGATGTGGATCGGGGCTTAAGACGTAGATGCAAGTAGCTGGCCTAGGTCATGGGGGAAGCAGCTGAAGACAGGCATCTCCCATATCTTCACTTATATCTTAGCCCTGTGTAGTTAGGGGGTACTGAGTTCACAGGTGAGAACCGATGGTCCTGTGGCTTGAAGCCTTTACTCTGACAGCCATCAGGTATCCAGAAGCTCCGCTGGGGAGACTTCTTGGTATTTTCCCCCAGCTACCATGAGTGTGTGCCTGTGTGTGTATAGAGTGGGCGTGGGTGGGGTTGCCAGGCCTGTGCTCATTTATGCCAGAGCTCACTCTCACCTCTGCCTGTGAATCCTAAGTCCTTATAAATGATTTCATGCCTCAGGCTCAGTAGTTTGTCACATGGCATCACCCACCAAGCCTGAGCTTTCAGGACTGGAGCCCTGGGACCCAGCCTTTGCCACAAGTCCTTACACTTGTGGACTTCACAGCAGGCTCACGGATTGCTTTCAACTGCTGGAGATGTCGGTCTTTCAGGAGCTAGCCCAACCTCCTAAAGCTGTAGCCCCCTGACCTTTGTGGGGAGCCAGATGCTAGAGGAAGTGCTCACCCTGTGTGCAGAAGACTCTTCGTCCCAAGACCCTGCATAGCCTCGTCCTGTCCTGCACCGAAGTGCTTCCCCCGTGTGCACTGGGTGGGGAACGATTTGTTGTGGAGATGTTGCCCCCCTAGTGTAGGCTCCTGGGTGACCGACTTCCAGACCGAGGCAGCACAGGGCTGGGCTAGCCACTGCCCCTAATTTTAGCCAATGGAGAACATGGCACTTTGTGACAGAGCAAGCCATGGACCACAACCAGGACCGGCTCACTGCCTTTCGGGAGAGCCAAGCCCGCACCAGCATCCTTAGCAAGGAGGTTCAGCACCTCCAGGAGGAGAAGTCCAAGCAGGTGAGCACAGCGCCCTTGCTTCCCAGGGCTGGCTGCCTTCTCCCTTGCTCTTGGACTATAGCCATCCTCCTTTCCCCCAGGCCTCTGAGCCAAGGCTAGCCAGGACCAAGGTGGCCACCTTGGCCCCACCTCCTGAGTGCCGAGTTCAGCTCAGGGCTGAGCACAAACAGGAGTCCTAGCCTACAGGCCCCCTCTGTCAGTCCTTCCTCCCATTGAATGAGACAGCGGGGTCAAGACAACTGAATCCTTTGAGGCCTGGCTGTGTTGATGGGACTCTGCGCTTCTGCCCTGACCAGGGCAGGCTCTTCTTCTAATGGTATTCTGATTGACTCTGTCCCCAGTTTCTGGATCTGATGGAGACAATTGATAAGCAACGAGACGAGATGGCCAGAAGCAGCCGGTGAGTGAGCCCTTGGGCCGCAGGAAGTGGGGCCACAGCTTAGCTGGGTGCCTGGGTCTCAGTGCCTGGCTGGCTTGCTATGAGCTAACGTGAGCTCTGTCTGTTACAAGGCCAGAGATCAAGGTCATTGCTTCTAAGCAGTTGGGCTGGCGCTTAGTGGCGGATGTGGAGCGCTGAGCTCTGTGCCTGATGCCCAGGGGGTGTGTGGGTGCAAGCTGCCGCCAAGGCTGTGCTCTGGGGCTGCCATGTCCCAGAACCACTCCTCTCCACAGGGCGGCAGCAGCACGAGTCGGGCAGCTTCAGGAAGCCCTGGACGAGAGACAGTCCATCATCAATGCCCTCAAAGCCAAGTAAGGCAGGGGAGAGGTTTGACTAGAAGCTTGGTGGGAGTGAGAACAGAAGACCTTTGCCAAGCAGGTGACATTCTTGACAGAGCTGGACTGGGATGGTCTTCCTCTTTGTAGGCTGCAGATGACAGAAGCTGCCCTGGCTCTGTCAGAGCAGAAGGCCCAGGACCTGGGCGAGCTGCTGGCCGCGGCGGAACAGGAGCGTCACAGCCTGTCCCAGAGACAGGAGAAAGAGCGCAAGCTGGAGCAGCAGGTGGGTGCTGGGCTGGCGGACGAGGTGACGGGCGTGCGTGCAGCAGCCCAGCATCTGCCCCTTCTCACTCAGGAAGCTGCAGATCGGGAGTCAAAGCTCCTCAGGGACCTGTCCACCGCCAGTGAGAAGAATCTGCTGCTTAGAAGCCAGGTAGGAGGGGTGCGGGCTTGGGAGGGTGCAGTCAAAGGAGGAGAGAGCCAGCTACAGTCAGCCACAGAGCCCAGATAGTGTGGCAGGGCCAGGTGAAGCTTCCTCTAGTGCCGCCTGCTCCCAGGTGGATGAGCTGCAGCGGAAAGTGAAGTCTCAGCAGGAGCAGCTTTTTCTGACCAGGCAGGAGCTGACCAACACATCAGCTGAGTTGAAGATCCGTGCGATTCAGGCTGAAGGTAGGCGTGGGCAGGCTTGGCTCTGAGGGGAAAGGAGCTCCAGGGACAAGGCACCCCAGGGAAGACTCAGCACGCGCTTCTTCCTTGGGCCTTCAGAACGCTTGGATGTGGAGAAGAGGCGAGCCAAACAGAACATGGAAGACTTGGAAAAGCTCCGTGCCAAGGAGGTGCTGCCTCCCCCTTGGTTCTCCTGTCCCCACCTGGGGCCTACACACCAGCCCTGAGTGATGCAGTATTCCCAGGGCATGCCCCTGGTCTGTGAGCCCTGACGAGATGATGCCAGAGTTGCAGGCAACACTACCGTACCCACAGTGCGGGCAGCTGTGGACTCCCGTGCTGTATGTTCCCCTGATCAGAGCCTCTGGCCTTGGTGGCCACCAGGACCCTCGGGCAGGCCTTTGCCAAGTTATACCTGCTCTCCAGGGTAGGGATTCCGTGGGGTGAGGGCTAGCTGGTGTTGACTAGCCCCGACCCCCTCATTTGGACAGGTAGATCACATGACCCGTCACCTGGAGGACAGTGAGAGGGCCATGCAGGAGAGGGTTCAGAGACTAGAGGCCTTGCGGCTGTCCCTGGAGGAGGTGAGAGCACATGGACCCTGAGCACCCCGGACCGCCCCCTAGTCTCAGCCTCAATAGGTCTCATCAGTGTCCCCAAAAGGTCAGAGACTAAGGATGGCCTTCAGGCCTCTTTGGTAGTGACAGCCCTGCTCAGTGATCGAGGGGTCACTGCGTGGTTCTGAGGAGACTTGCAGAGAAGTCTCCCCAGCCTGGCTACGCAGTGACCCGGAAGGAGCCCTGGGTGGGAGGTGGAGGGGTCCAGAGGGTGCGCTAGCAGTAGCCATCTGCCACCGCAGGAGCTCAGCCGCACGAAGGCAGCCATGCTCAGTGAGCGAGGCCAAGCTGAGGAGGAACTCATTAAAGCCAAAAACCAGGCCCGCCTGGAGGAGGTGAGCTCTGGGCCACGGGTACACAGGGGCAAGCCAGGGCTGCCAGCCTCAAGGCCAGAGCTTAGACAGAGATCCAGGAGCCGACAAGGCCATGGTGCTTTCCAGACGGCACTGCGTGGGTAAGAGGAAGGCTGCAGGAGGAGAGCTCAGTGGGAGATGCTTCTGGATGCAGGCTTAGCGCCTGCTAACGCACAGGGGCGGAGGCCAGTCCACCTGCAGACCGCTCAGACTGGGCGCCCTTCACGTGCAGCAGCCCTTCCCTGCCCACAGCAACAGCGCCTTGCTCATCTGGAGGAGAAGATTCGGCTGTTGGCGCAGGCCAGGGATGAGGCTCAGGGGACGTGCGTGCAGCAGAAGCAGATGGTAGCCGAGTCCCAGGCACGGGCCAGCCAGCTGAACCTGCAAGTAGAGGGGCAGCAGCGGCGCCTGGAGGAGCTACACCAGGTAGCAGCATGGTTCCGGGGAGCACAGACTCGGGGTTCGAGCCCAGGCTGTGCTCTCACCCTCCCCACCCCACCCCAGGAGCTGAGCAACAAGGACCAAGAGAAAGTGGCCGAGGTGGCCAGGGTGAGAGCGGAGCTGCAGGAACAGATAGGCCGCATGCAGGCTGACCTGGTGGCCCAGGAGGTGCTGAGGGAGAAGGTGGCAGCTCTGGAGCGGCAACTGAAGGGTCAGCACCTATCACCTGGGGCAGCTGCGCGTGGCCCCGCGGCCCTTCCCCCCCCCACACCGCACTCCCGAGACAGGCTTTCTCTGTGTAGCCTGGCTAGCCTATAGCGCGCCTGCCTCAGCCTCCCGAGGGCTGGGATTTCAGGCGCACCACACCCCCTCACTGCCCCTCACCTACCCCTCCTTAGCGAGCCTCTCCCCTGCAGTGCTCGGGAGCGAACACCGGCAGGCGCTGCTGGACAGAGAGAGCGAAAACGCATCTCTCCGGGAGAAGCTGCGGCTCAAAGAAGCGGAGATCTCCCGCATCCGCGATGAAGAGGCCCAGAGGGCCAGCTTCCTGCAAAGTGCTGTCCTGGCTTACGTGCAGGGGTCCCCCCTGAGAGCCTTGAGTCCCCCTCAATGAAGGGAGGCCCGGAACGCCTAGCGAGGGCAGAAACACGGCATCCCGTCCTCAGAGCAGGCCGCGGTTCCAAGAGCAGCATCCGCAGTGGCAGCAGCGCGCACCGGCACACCTGCTCCTCCACGGTGGCCCCCCGCAGCTCACGGTAGTGCCGGCCCGGCGGAAGCGCGCAGGAGAACACGCTCTGGCGACCCAGTCCCGGAACCACAAACCAGGGCGGGCAGGGTGGAAATACAGGATTTTGTACTTGGTGATACGTTCTCGTCCAGTTCCTTTCTCCTGCACCCGCGGCCCCGACCGCGTGAGCGACTGCTGGGTCACACCGGTTGCTACCCAGCAACTAGGAGGGCCACCCCTGTGTGGACACGAGGGTTTCTTGGCTGCGGGAAGCATCCATCTCGGTGGCGTCCTCGTTCCCGGGTGTGGACCCTCAGCCTGAGCCTTCGGGGTCCGAGGACTGGCTGGGGCTCCGCCCCCGCCGCAGCTCGCCCCTTGCCCCGCCCCGCCTGCGCACACTCGGCTGTCTTCGCACCCGGCGCTCGGCGGCGCTCGGCTGTCTCCGGTCCCTCGCTCGGCTTTCGGGTCCGCGGCCGCTGCGGCGCTGGGCATTTCTCCGCAGCTCGGCTCGCGGCCGCGCCCGCCGCCGCCCGGCCCCGCGCCCATGCAGGCCATCAAGTGCGTGGTGGTCGGCGACGGGTGAGTGCGTTGTCCCGAGCCGCAGGGGCGGAGGGGCTAGTAGGCGGTTACGGGGTGCGGCTCGGCGGGGCGGGGCAAGCAGACGCGCGGGGAGATGGCGAGGCTGCTCCGCCGCGCCCCCGTAGCCCGGCCGCGTGCGTCCAGGGCCTGATGGGGTGGGGTCAAGCTCCAGCTGCCCACCTTCCAGCCCTGGCACACCTGATGCTGCCGGGCCTCCAGCCGGTGCTCGCGGTGGGTGGGGCCGGGCCTCACCTGCGCTGGTTCCCCGGGTGGCTCCACCCTCGCGCCAGCCGCCCGGTGCAGGGCGCTCTGACGCCCCTGTGCGTTGCGGCGCGCCCTCTCCAGCGTTGTAAGCCCTCGCAGCCGCGCCCACCACGGCGCTCCCTCCGAGGCCAGCCTGCTCCGCCTGTTTTCGGTCAGCCCCAGGCGGTTGCAGATCCGAGGGGCTCCGACCTACCCACCCCACCCCAGTCACCCAAACTAACCTCTAGCTCTGTGGGAGCGGGATGCCCTTGTGGGGAGTGGCGGAGGCTCGGCCCCGGAGCCACGTGGGCTGAACCTCTTTTCCACAGTGCCGTGGGGAAGACGTGCCTGCTGATCAGCTACACGACCAACGCCTTCCCGGGAGAGTATATCCCCACAGTGTGAGTGCGTGGGGGTGGGAGGGAGCTGAAGCTGGCCACTAGAGGCCAGCCACACGTGTATGGGACCTCCCCTAGGCTCCAGGTCATGCTCAAGTGACCCTGGCTCATGGTGAGGCTGAGACCCTGGCCAGAGTTTGGGTTCTGTGTAGGCTCCAGCAGGCTGGCCTCCCTGCCCTGCCCAGCCCAGCCTTTCCACTTTGCAGTTTCGACAACTACTCAGCCAACGTGATGGTGGATGGGAAGCCAGTCAACCTGGGGCTGTGGGACACTGCTGGCCAGGAAGACTACGACAGGCTGCGGCCGCTCTCCTATCCCCAAACTGTACGTGGCAAGGGGCCCAGCTCCAGGAGTCGGGTGGCTCCCTCGTGGGGAGGAGGCGCAGACTACTTGGACACCCCTTGGACAGTTGTGTCTGTTCCTTCCCCTGAAGGATGTCTTTCTGATCTGCTTCTCCCTGGTGAGCCCGGCCTCCTTTGAGAACGTCCGTGCCAAGGTAGGGTGGGCCTAGGGGTCCTAGCAGAGGACACAGGCCCGCTGGCTGAGGGAAGCACCAAGGGTGTCAGGGAGGTCAGCTCACCGCTGGCCATGGGCCCTGGCTGAGGAGCTGTGGGCAGTCTCAAGCCTCCCTGGATGGGTATCTTTGGGCATTGCCAAACCCAACATACTCCTAGTGACTCTGTAAGGCAGGAAGAGCCAAGTGTGTCAGGGAAAAAGCCTCAGGAGCTGGGGCCTGCTTTGGGCAGATTGGGCAGATCCTGAGGCCCGTGAGGTCAGGACCCCTGTTCCCACAGTGGTACCCAGAGGTGCGGCACCACTGCCCACACACGCCCATCCTGCTGGTGGGCACCAAGCTGGACCTCCGCGACGACAAGGACACCATTGAACGGCTGCGGGACAAGAAGCTAGCACCCATTACCTACCCACAAGGCCTGGCCATGGCCCGAGAGATCGGTGAGGAAGCGCAGGGCAGAGGTTGGGGGTGTGCTTTGAGGAGGTTGTCCTGCCTCTGCTGTTCCCCGACCCCCCGCCGCCCCCTTTCCCACTATCTGCCCTCCCTGCAATGCTCCTAGGTTCTGTCAAGTACCTGGAGTGCTCAGCCCTGACCCAGAGAGGTCTGAAGACTGTGTTTGATGAGGCCATCCGGGCTGTACTCTGCCCTCCTCCAGTGAAAAAGCCAGGCAAGAAGTGCACTGTCTTCTAGAGCCCCGTCGGCCAGCCTGGATGAGGAGCCCTGGCTCGTGTGCCCTCGTGTTGAGCTGTCTGGTGTCCCTGAGTCTTCGGTGGGAAGTGTGAGGGTGGGGAAGGGAAGCCTGGGACAAGGCTGGGGTGCTGGGGTCCTGTCTCCTATGCCTCCCTTTTCTGGGATCTAACTCCAGCCTTCCCTGGTCCCTACGGGAGGCCAGGAGGGAGCAGGGTCTCCCTCAGGGCTGCAGGGGCGGGTCCAGGCAGCCCCAGGATGGGCTTCCCTGGAGGGGAGGGTGGGGGGGTTGTTCATCTCGTCCCAGGAAAGGGCGGCTCCTTCTTATTTTATACAATAAACGTTCTCCACCTCCTTTGTCTCACTGCCTGCCCTGCCTTCCACCCTGGTACTTGCCCCAGCCACTGCCCTGGAGGGCAGAGGAGTCCGGCATCCCTAGCAGACCTTGGAGTACAGGGTTCCGGGCTTAACACAGCCTAGGTGAGGGAGAGCACAGCACTTGGATCAGGGATAGGCTTGCTTAGCAGCACACAGGGCAGCCTGTGTGTGCAAGCCTGGGACCTGGTGGGGGCTGGGGGCCGTGCTTCGGCAGCCCTCACTGAGCTGACAGGACAGTCTGTAAAGAGGGCTCCTGGGAGCCTATGATCCATCTCTGCCTGGCATGATTCGCTAACCAGTTACTGACGTGGACGTGGATGTGGCAGCCCCGACGGGCCAACGCTACAGTCTGGCGACTCACATTTTGTCCCAGAGGCTGTCAGGCCGTCCCCAGATCGGAGGATGCCCTGAGCAATGATTCTCCCCGGGGTGTATGCACGTGGTTCATGCTGACTCAGAGACCTGTTTGGTTTTTCCAGGAAGTTTGCCAGTGAGCTGTTAAACAGTTCTTATTAATAATTAAATCACATGAACTTACAATTAGTTGTGCTGAGAACAAAATCAACAGATTTGTCATTTCCTAATTAATATGTTGAGATCCTTTGCACCTCATATTACTGTTTACGGGGTTCTACAATGGACCTCCGCATCTCTGCATCCCCCCAATTCCACATGAAATGGTATCAAGTAGACAGCTTGGAGTCAGCTGGTGGAGGCTCCCCAGCTGGAATAAGGCAGACTGCACAGGCCGGGGCTTCATTTATCAGTGGCCCATGCCATTGAATTGAGATATTGCAAATTAAACACACCAGGGCTCTCACTATGCTGTAAATATCTCAAAAAGTTGTGGGAATGCTCAAGAAAGCAGCTAAAGCTAATGAAGGGCTTGCTCAGCTCATTGGCAAATTAGTAATGTCTACCACCTGTCTTCTCATGGCCTGTGCTGCTCACTGACCTGCAAGCAAGGCTAGCTGGCATTTGCACCAGAATCACACAGACCTGCTCAGCTCCACCGGAAGCCTGTGGACAGGCCATCTTTACCCAAACTGACCAACCTCTTGAGGATCCAGCCTTCTGAAGGTCCCACCTTCCACCCCATGCCAGGTTGCTGGCCAGGCCCGAATGTGTGGGAACCAGGCTACAGCCGCTGTGGGCACAGGCGGCACAGATCTCTGCCCATCTGAGAGTCGGCACGCAGGCTGGGCAGAGGTTTATTGGAGGGCTGGAGGGCACCGTGTTCTGAGCGTAAAGCTGGGCAGAGTATTGTTGGGGTTGGGGTAGGACTCAGGTAGCCAGGAAGCCCCCATCCACCGGCAGGGTGGAGCCAGAGGTCATTCTGCTCCTGTCGCTCAGCAGGAAGAGGACGGCGTCCACCACGTTCTCCACCTCTGCAGGCAGGGGGGTCCGGAGCACACATGGAGGAGCTCCCCCACCCTGCAGCCCCAGCCGAGCCCAGACTCCAGTCTGATTTCCTGCCTAACTCACCAGCAAACTTGCCGAGGGGGATGCGATCCAGCATAGCCTTGGCCTTTTGGGGGTCACTCCAGTTCATCCGGCCCATCGGGGTCATCACTACTGTGGGGTTGACTGCGTTCACACGGATCTGCGAAGAGGCCAGCATGGTAAACACGGGAGGGCGTCTTGCGCATAAGGACTGACTGCGGAGTTGGCCCAGCCCCACACACCTTGTGGGGCCCAAGCTCTAGAGCCATCATCTTGGTCAGCATGTCCAGAGCGCCCTTGGTGGAACCTGTGCGGATGGTTGTTGTGGGGCCCAGCTGGCCGGGAGGGGAGGGGGAGGAGGGTGGAGTCAGGCCGGCTGGGATCACTCACAGTAGACACTATGGTTGGTCAGGGCACGCTGGGAGGCCTGGCTGGAGACGTTCACAATGGCCCCCGGGACTCCCCGAGCGATCATGCCCCTGGCCACGATCTGAAATGTTGAGGGACATGAAGCAGAACTACCGCTCGTCTTTCAGAGTTCCTGCTCTGGTTTGGTAGGGCAGCTCACCTGGGACACCTGGATGACAGCCCGAAGATTCACACTGAAGGACCTAGCAATGAACGGACAGCCTGGTCAGGGGCAGGACCGGGGCTGCAGGGGAATGGCTCGGCGCCCCCAACCCTGCTGGCTTACTGGTCACAGGCCTCCTTGGTGACTTCCAGGAAGGGCTGCAACAGAGCCACGGCAGCATTGTTCACCAGCAGGTCCACTGGTCCCACAGTGCTCAGGGCCTTTTCCGTGGCCTCCCAGTCTCCCAGGTCCACACACACAGGCTCCACGCCGGGACACTGTGTATTGGAAAGACGAAGAGCCATGTGCAACTGTGTCCCCGGAAGGGGTGCTGCTTGCCTCCCCCACCCGAGGAGCGGTAGCTGGTCTGGGAGAGCTGGAAGGGGTCTTTCAACTGGAAGAGTCAGGGGTTCCAGTTATGGCAGCAAATTGCCAAGTGGAACCTATAGCCGGGCAGTTCAGTTCCTCTCGCCTAGCATTGTTGGACCCAGGACTGCTCTCTCCGCAGACATTTCAGTTTCTTCCAAACTCAGGGAGCAGGAGGTCCTAATGGACCCCGAGCAGTTGCACAGGCTAAGGAAGGAGTGCCGTGGCTGGGAGCCCACCCCAACGCCAGCGCAGGGCCTGCAGGGAGAAGCTTGCTGCGGGTGAAGGGTGTAAAGGTCAGTGGCCGCCTCCTCACCTCTGGACACAGTGCCTACCTCGCGGACCAGGTTGTCAAGGTCCTCTTGGGTCCGGCTCACGGCCACGACGTGTGCCCCGGCCGCCGTCAGCGCCAGCACGGTGCTGCGCCCGATGCCTGAGGCGAGAGAGGGTTGGAGCGGCACTCCCTCCGCTGCGCGACCCTGCCAGCGCCCCTCGCCCGCGCCTCACCTTTGCCCGCGCCCGTGACCAGCGCCCGCCGACCTGCAAGCCCCAGGTCCATGGTGGCCTTGTCTGGTCCGGCCGGGGCAAGACGGGCTCGGAGTTCCGGAATCGGGGTGGGGCGAGGAGAGCCAATCGCACGGGCTGCGCCCTGAGAAGGGCGGGCATATCATAACAAGAGCTCGTGCTGCCGGGCTGATTGGCTGAACGGAAGTGGGCGGGACCAACGCAGGGCGCGGCTAGCCAAGGCACACAGCTCCAAACTGCAGCCCGCCTACCCTACTGCAGCCGGTACACTCGGCCTACTCAGCCCTGCCGAAAAGATGTCCGCGAAAAAACATGCAGTAACTTTGCCAGGAGTTTCATGGCTGCTCGTGAACCCGAGAGGCATGTCCCAAAACGTTTCTATGTGCTCTTTCCCCAGATCTGGGAATGGGTTGCAAGAGCTCGTATGTAAAGAGGATAATTGGACATTCAAAGTTGGGTAGTGATGAGGCACACCTTTAATCTCAGCAGTCCCTGTGAGGTCGAGGCCAGCCTGGGTTTCAGAACAGCCAGGGCTACACAGTGAAACCCTGTCTCAAACAAAACAAAACAAGCCAGGTATGGTGGCACACGCCTGTAATCCCAGCACTCAGGAGGCAGAGGCAGGCGGATCTCTGTGAGTTCCAGGTCAGCCTGGTCTACAAAGTGAGTCCAGGACAGCAAAGGCTACACAGAGAAACCCTGGAGGGAGAGGAGGGAAGGAAGGAGAAAGAGACACAGAGAGAGAGAGAGATCCAGAGAAGCCAAAGCACCGAGTTGGCATCAAGGGGAGCTGAAACCCAAGGCCACCTCACTCAGCTGTCATCAGTCAGTCCCTCTAGAGAGTGAGCAGGACAAGAAGGGCTGGGGCTGGGTTTGCAATGTCCATGAGAAGTGGCCGGGCAAACACTGCCTTCCGAGGCCTGAGAGTCAGCTACAGAGTGATGCATGCCCAGCTGTGCACCAGGTCTCCCTACAGTGAGCTGTGCTGTCGGGGGCACGGTGAGGAGGACGAGCCCTGCTCTGAGGCCCTGCTCTGCCAAGCAGCAGGGATCTGGTGCCTGGGGGGCTGTGCGCCCAAGAGGTGCACGGCTGCAGGCCTCAGTGGGTAAGAGCACGCTGCTCTCCCAGAGGACTGGGTTTGATTCCCAGCACACACATGGCAGTTCATAACCATCTGCTCCCTCTTCTGACCTGCACAGACATACAGGCAGACAGCACCCGTCCATATAAAATAACGGCAAGGTTTAAAAGGTTAAAGGCGAGAGACGCAGCTGGAGGATGGGCGGCTGAGGGCTCCTTCCCCATCTTTGACCCGCACATTTCCACAGCACCCATGGAAGGCCATTCTGTGAGCACTGTCATCTGCTCCCAACCTTGAACTGTGCCATCTCCTTGCCAGAAACCGAGGGAGAGACAGCACCAGCCTGCCCAACACCCAGACACCCACAGCTGCGTAGAGCTCCTTAGAGGCCCAGTGTTCCAGGACAAATCTCACTCACTGTTCTGTGGTGCCTGGTGCACAGGAAGCCGCACAAACCTTGCTCTCGGGACCTGTGTCCTGAGCTCCCTCCCTCTAGAAGGTCTTCCCTGAGCCCATCCTCTGCTATGCCTCCTGCCCTGAGCGAGACCCTTCATCAATTCGAATGGTTGGCCACCTCAGCCTAGCAGATTACTGGCTGCCATGAGCCACAGGCAAACCTGTTGGGTCTGCAAGACTTGGAGGAGCCTGCCTTTTAGGACTGTCATGCTGGTTCAGGCCACGTGACAGACCAGCTGTGAAAGTGGCAGCTCCATTTGGGCGGCCTTCTTAGCATGGCCTTGTGTATGGACCAGGCCAGGGAAGCGACACCCCCCCCCCCGCCCCCAGAAGAAGGCGAGATTTCGATCCTGCCCAAGGGCTCCTCTCCAAAGGTTTAGGGGCGTCCTAGCCCAGAATGCCTCCCTGTCCCTCCTGTTCCCTCCCTTCCCGATTGTCGGAGCACGCAGAGGCACGGGGGCCACGGCAGAGGCAGGAGAACATGGACCCCTTCTTTCCTGATGAACCGCTGACCTTTGGCCACATTGGTCACAAGGCACAGCAGGTATTGGAATGGTGGGCGTGGAGGGAAATGCCTACAGGGGACTCGATCAAGTATCCATCCCCAAGGAGTCTTGAGCAACGGTTGGGAACACCCGACGGCCAGTTTATTTAGGGGGGTTAGCACAGCAAAGCGGACAGAGAGGACCGGACTCCAAGGGCCTGAGCTTGCAGTGGTAGTGGGATCAGACAGTCACGTGGGGCGGGGCGGGAGCTGTGTCGGGGGCGGGGCTGTGGCATGGAGCGGGGGTCATGAGATCAGAAGACACTGTGGCTTGAGGGTGGGGCCAGGGAGGCCTGCAGGGGGTCCACCTCCTGGGGAGTCTAGGAGGCCAGGTAGCCAGCGTCCACCAGGATGCCAGAGCCACTGGTGGAGGCGCTGCTGTCGCTGAGCAGGAAGAGGATGCTGTGGACGACGTCCTCCAACTCTGCAGCAGGCAGACCCGTCAAGCCTTGCTTTCGTGGCTGCTGAGCCCGCCCGACTCCCTCACCCGCCCGACTCCCTCACCCAGCCGACCTGCAAACTTCCTCAGTGGGTGGCGCTCCTTGAGCTTCCTGGCCCAGTCGGGGTCCTCGGAGACTTTCCTGCCCATGTCAGTCAGCACCACAGTGGGGTTTACAGAGTTCACCCGGATCTGGGGCCACAAGCCACGGCTGGTGTCACAGCCAGGGGACCTGCCCTGCCCCCCAGCTCAGGACTCGCCCCAGGCCTGGCCCAGCGCTCAGAGCCTCAGCTCACCCTCAGCCTCAGCCCCAGCCCTGCCCCACTGCCCATCAGCTGTCCCTCAGGTGTGGCCCAGCCCCCTGTGCCCACCTTGTGTGGCCCCAGTTCCATGGCCATGGCTTTGGTCAGCATGGTCATTGCGCCCTTGGTGGAGCCTGTGGAGGGGCGTGCTGAGGACCCTTCATTATTCAGTCCTGCTCCCGGAAGGCCCACCAAAAACCTAGACTCAGGTAGTTTTTAGAGTGTACACTCACTGTAGGAGCTCAGGTTAGGAAAGGTGACGTGGGCCACCATGCTGGAGACATTGACGATGGACCCGGCCACTCCACGGTCAATCATGTCCCTGGCCACTATCTGGAGGAAAGAGCTGGGGTCGCTCACCATGCCCTAGCCCACCCTGTCCAGGTGCTGAGGCCTATCTGGGCTGAGGCCCTCCTACCTTCTCACCTGAGACACCTGAAACACAGAGCGGAGATTCACATCGAAGGACCTGCAGGAGAGGCGCAATGAACAGCCTCTTACACCTCTGGTCTTCGGCCACCTCCCCCGGCCGGCCGCTCTCCCCAGTGCCCACCTGTCAAAGGCTTCCTTGGTGACCTCCAAGAAAGGCTGGGCGATGCTGCTGCGTTGTTCACCAGCAGGTCCACGGGGCCAACACCGCCCAGCGCCTTCTCTGTGGCCTCCCAGTCACCCAGGTCCACACACACCGGCTCTATCCCGGGACACTGTGGGTGACGGTGTTTGGTAGCTGAGGCACTGTTCCAGCCCCCTCCTGACGATCCCTTAGGGCTCGGAGCAGGCCCAGGTCAGGCAGGCTGCGTGCCTTACCTCTTTGGCAAGGCTGACCAGGTCTGCGTTGGTGCGAGTCACGGCCACCACTCTGGCTCCTGAGGCATGCAGGGCTTTAACAGTGTCACGCCCAATCCCTATAGACACAAGGGCCCCATATATGCCTGCTCACAGCAAGGGTCAGGATCCCAGGCAGAAGTGAAGACCGGAGGGCAGCTGGCTCCTGATGAGGCCCAGGGAGGGCTGCCCTGGTGCCCAGCTAGGATCTGGGTGCTATCCTGCAGCAAGTTAATTTCACCCATCTAGGGTATTGTATGGCCAGGCTGGGCTTACCATTCTGTCCTAGTAGGTCTGCAGCTGTGTGTCATAAGCCTGTCAGTCCTAGCCAGCAGGAGTCAGGTTCTGGAGGGCTGAGCTGTGACAGGTCACCTTGGACCCCTGGTCGGTGTTGAGGCTGTCCTCCTCCTTCTCCCCAGGAGAAGGAGGCCATCTTCCCAACCCGCTCACACTCACCTTTCCCTGCTCCTGTGACCAGGGCCCTCAGGCCACTGAAATTCAGCTTCATGCTGCTAACCCCAGCGTCTTCTGCAGCAAGAGATGGGCTCAGGTGTCTTTTTATGGCTGGGCTGGCAGGCAGGGCAAGGGTGGAGCTAGGCACAGACCAACCTGGCCAGGGTAGCATGAACTACTTACTTCCTCCAAGGATAAACCTCTCCCTCCCCAAATATGGCAGCCAGCTATCCATTAGGGTTTGAAGAACTGAGAAATCGTGAGCACACATGTGTTTGAGAGAGAGAGAGAGGACACAGTCATGTGACAGGAAAGTGGGGGTCCTGGGGATGAGGTTTGTGTTTTCTTTCATCTGATGCCTGAGCTTCGGCACTCCTCCCACATGAGTCAAACCTTGTACCGCTGGGCCACATTCCTAACCTAGGAGATTAAAAATGTTGGCTTTCTGACTTGCCTTCTTTGGACATGAGCCGGTAATGGTTTTGATGGAAGAGAAGCTGCACTTCCCAGTCAGTTGGGTGCTTCAGCCTGACTGAAGGGCCAGGACAGCTGTGCCCATGGCATAATAGTGGCCAACCCCTCAGCACCGGCAGCTCTCAGGTGATCATCCAGCACCCTGGGTTGGCTCTAGTTCCTGGGGTAAGGGTGCTCCAGGAAACAAGACTTGTAACCTGAATTGCTCCCGGGTGAGCTAGGGCAGGTGGCTTGGAAAGCTGCTTGAGGCCAATCTCTTCCTACCCAACCCCTAGCCCGGCATTCGTGAAGTCTGTCAATCATTTCTCCTGCTTCTCCCAGGTGACTTCCACCTGCCCCCAGAGACTCCGCCCTTGGTGCCTACACTGAGGCAACCTCTGCCCCTTCTCAGAGCAGATGGGTGAAGCCTTGGGGGAGATTTTGAGAAACAATCTGAGGATTAAATTTCCATCCTATTTCTGCATCTAGGAAGCTGTCTGATAGCATGCCTAGCCCTTCCTGACCTTGT